GATATCTTTTGATAGCCGGGCACCACCAGCTTTATTCAATATGGCAAGAGTTTCATGTGGTAAGTAGTATTTCAGCTGAAGGCTTGGAAAGTATATGCGCTCTCTAGCATCTGGCCTGAGATTTTAGTTCCCAACAACTCCAAACTCACTGCCACCAAGTACATGCTGATGCACAGTGACCCTATAGGACAGGGTAGAACTGCCCACGAGACTGGAACTCTTCACGGGAGTAGAAAGTCTCACCTTTCTGCCGGGAATTGGTCTTGCTGTTCATGGCCTCCCGGCCTTTGGCCCAACGAATAAGCATTATGCCACCAAAGCTTCCTGAGGTTTTAGTTAAGGATGCAGATATATTCAGCAATCATATGGCAGAGGTTTCAAGGCACACACAGACATAAGGTGGAAAAAATGATCTCAGAAAGTCTATGTTCTTGAGATTACAATGAAGTGATAATTTTCTAAGAGAAGTTTACAGCCTATGCTCTGAAAGGGATAGAGTTGGGTCCCACATAGAAATAACATAGGTAAGTAAGATTTGTAAAGTTGCATACATTAGAGAAAAGGAAAGAGAAGAAATTCAGACTAGAATTTCGTGGCGTGGAGAGCAAAGACATGCGCTTTGTTGGAAGGAAAATTGACTATTATAAATATGAAATAATAACCATGTGAGAAGGCAGCCTGAAAATATGTGTTAAACTCAGCCAGTTCTTCGAATTACATATAATAAGAAAATAATCAGAGCACTGTGACAAACACATTTTAAAATGGCATCTGTTTATGTTAACAAAACATTGGAAACAAATCAGAAATACTGCATGGTTAAATAAATTGAAATGCATCTCTACAATGTGTTATCCTGGTCTGAAAAAAGAAGGCATTTAAAAAAATCTACTCACATAGATTCACAGTGATATAATGGCACCAATAAAATATTACACGAAGAGGAGGTCATTTCTAGAAATATTTTCCTTTTCCTCTCTGTAGTTGGAATTGTCTAATTCCTAATGCTTGTTCTTCAAGTTCATGGACTCCTCTTTCGCTTCACCCTCATTCTGCTGTGGAGCTAGCCAGTGAGATTGGTTTTTATTTTTTCTCTTTTCATTCCCAACATTTTAAAAGCCTGTGTTTATGTTTTCATAGCTTATATTTCTTTGCTAAACTTTCCAGCCTTCCATTTATGTCATCAGCGTTCATCACTGTTTAATGGAGCATCTTTGTAAAAAATAAAACAAGCCAACAAATCACTCGCTTTCCCAGCAAGTGAATCCCCACTCCTCCCCTACC